GGCTGGAGTCGCCTTCGCGCCAGGACGAGAGAGCATCGTGGGGGTCGTTTATGGAGCGCTTAAAGCTCAGTAGAATCGCAACCTCATCCTCCAACGAGACACAGAGGAGGGGGGAGCAGAGGAGGACGAGGAAGAAGAAAAGCAGAGGCATTACAGAAACAGGGAAACAGAGCAAGGCAGAAGAAGGAAATCTCCCCAACCTCTTCTTCTTCGGCGAGAATGGAGAAATGGAAATGGGGTTTCAGAGGGAGAGGGAGAGTTGCAGTCAAGAATACAAAATGGGGAACGCTGGTTTTCCCAAATTTGAGGAATGGGTTCTTCTTCTTCCACAGTAAATGCCAAATCCAAATTCAAATCGAAATCCAAATCCACCTTCACATTTGACAGATACAGAAATCAAAACAGAAAATAGAAAAAAGCATTTATTTGCCACAATGCAAGTACAGACAATTCCACCCTCCTTCCAGATCCCCCACAAAACTATTCTCTGTTTTTAGTTTTGTTTCAGTTTTCAGTTTCAAACGTTCTGGTCTTTACAGGGTAAACTTCAGTTACTTTTAAACTTCCCCCTCTTTGGAAATCCAACTCTTTTTTCCTTTTTAAGCCATGCCATTGCCATTACAATTTACAGTAGGTTCGTTCTTAAAATATACTATTATTATATAATATCTCGCTAATAATTAACTTTTTCGTACTAGTCATAATTTTTCTAAATATTTGAAAAATTACAATGGAAGGTTACTGTATTTGTAAATTTATTATACCAAAAAATTATTTATAAATATGATAAAAAAATTATATATATATTTGTATAGGTTAGTTCTTAAAATATACTATTATTGTGGTCTGTTAAGTATTTATGACCATATTTTTTCTTCTCTCTTTCTCTTTCAACAACGAGGGTATCGTTGTCCCTAGTACTAACCAGAGAAATTAACAAAGTAATTAATAATTTTAAAAACTCAAACAATTAAATACAAAACTATTAAGAAGCTCTCTGTATGAGATTCAGGACATCTCATCGAACCAAAACGCTACCATGATTTTGTGTGTCGTGCTCTACAAACACCATCTCACATTCAGAGGATTGAAAATTGGAAAGAAACTCCATCGATATCACATAAGCCAACACGGTATATTTCTTCATTTTATTTTATCTTTCTAGGGAGGAGGTATGTAAATGAAGGACATATTAGTTAATATTGTGCTATTATTAATATTAAACTTGAAACTATGGCAGAAAAATGAAAAATCAATACGTTTCGGACAATCTAATGTAGGTCTAACGTCTAGGAAGTAGGGACGGATCTACGGTGGGAGCAGAGGTATATGTCCCTATATTTTACTTAGATTTAATACAGTACTACATATTATTGAGAACCTTAACAAAGACCTAAAATATTCATAAATTATAATTGAACATCACAAAGAGAGCATACCTCACTATTCAAAGTAGCTTTCGAATTCCTATTTGATTCTTTTCTTGCCAATCTAAACATAACTGGTAAGTCAGCTTCCACGGGCTTAAAAACTTGGATGAAAGATGCAATATTTAACTAACTCTACCTCTGTGTCAGCTTCAGCTTGGCCTTGAGTTCTCGTTTCTTTCAAGTTTTAACAATCCCAATACCGAACACTACCATTCTCCTCAGCCTCTTAATAAAACCATAAACAGAAACACAGAGATCTCTCTTCCCACTTGAACTCACGAGTCAAGCAACAAAATTCCTTTGCCCCAATTCTTACTCCACCTCTGACCTCTCTCTCTCTCTCCCCCTCCCTCCTCTTTCTTTCCTTTTATTGCAAAATCCCCAAATTTCTCTGTTCTGGGTCTGCTCTCAATTGCTTTCAAGGCATCACTAACCTCTCTTTCCCTCCACTCATCTCTCCCACTACTTATTAATACACTTCGAAACCTTCCAAATTTCAACAACTGAAACGAAACCCTCAGCCCAGCCATGGAAATCAAAGCAGCCAGCGAAGAAACCCACTCTCAAGACGACCCAAGACGCCCCCTTTTGCGAGAAACAACAACCATTCCTTCGAGAGACGAAAAAACCCTCATACAAAAAGCCATTTCCCAGACCTTTCAGAGCACCGCCCACTTGGCCAATCTTCTTCCCACCGGAACCGTCCTCGCGTTTCAGCTTCTTTCCCCAATTTTCACCAATCAGGGCAACTGCGACCTCGTCTGCCGCTACCTCGCCGCCGCCCTCGTTGCCGTCTGTGGCCTCTCCTGTTTTCTTCAGAGTTTCACTGATAGTTTCAGAGACGCCCAGGGGAATGTCTGTTACGGATTCGCCACTTTCACCGGCCTCTGGGTTATCGACGGCTCCGTGGAGCTGCCGCCGGAGGCGGCGACCAAGTTCCGGCTGAGATTTATTGACTTCTTGCACGCTTTACTGTCCATTCTGGTCTTCTCTGCCGTTGCTCTGTTTGATGAGAATGTGGTGAGCTGCTTCTCCCCGGCGCCGTCCGACGAGGTGGCGGAGATTCTGACGGCTTTGCCGGTTGGGATTGGCGTGATTTGTAGCATGTTGTTTGTTATTTTTCCAACCAGACGCCATGGAATTGGTTTCCCTCTCTCCGCAAATTAGCGGCTCCGGTGTGATTCGCCGGAATTTCCCTTCGCTGGCACTGACTTGGAGTTGGAAATGTTTCGTCTAATTCTCCTGATTTCTTGTCCTTTCGACATTTGTTCGCTCCTTCATCGATTCAGATATACGATTTTTTTTTTCATTTTTAATACAAGAAACGAACAGATCAACCATTCCTTTGAATATCACTACGAACAAAATTGTGATTTTAAAATTAATAAAGTTAAAGATTAATGATTCCTTTAAATTACTAGTTACTTACGTGGTACGCATTGTTATTGAAATTCAATTCGTACATAAAATTAAATATTAAACATATATATATAATTTAACAATATTTAGATAGCACCTATCTATCCTCATAGTGACATCACTCAAAATTTTATATTTCTTCCATTGTTTGAAAAACAAAAAAATTATTCCTCTTTCTACATTTCCTTCTTTGCTTGTCAAAAATTTCAGAAAAAATATTTGAGTCCTAGTGAGGACCAACTTTGTCATTTGACACGGACATTTGCAAATATGACAAAAACAACGTTTAATTTTTCTAAATATAGTATTTTTTTCAGAAAAAACGGAGGTCCAATAGTAAAATTACAAATTTATCCTTTAATATATCTGTAATATATCTTACCACTCATATATATCTGCAATATATCTTACCACTAATATATATCTCTGATATACCACTGATAGACGTATGATAACCATTGATTTACCATGCTGATACAATGCATATATATTTGATATGCATCTAATTTACCACTGATATACAAATGATATACCACTGATATACCTATGGTATCTACTGATATAATTTCTTATATGATTATATGATTTAACACTAATATAATACTGATATATACTTAATATGCTTCTAATTTACCACTTATATATCTTTTATATAACCACTATATCTACTAATATAACTATGATATATATGTGTTGATATTATACTATTATATCCAATATTTTTTCAGATGAAAATAATGGTGCATGATTTTTTATTTTTTATTTTTGAAATATAAAGTTATTATATAAAAAGTTTATGTGGACCATCCACGTCCAAAAAGACAAGTTGATATACTTTATAAATTTAAACAGTTTATATCCTTATATTTAGTATCTAATTAATATTAATATTGAATAAATAGTAGTGATATAGTAATCAACATTATTTAATATTAATATATTAATGAAAAAAATTGAAATGATAAATTATAATTTAAACAACTGATATACCACTAAAAATTAAACATTTGATATACTTTATATTTAATATATAAGTTGCAAATATATTTAGTATATCATAAATTAGAAGTACATCATATATATATATATTATATGTATAATACGTACATTTGATGTATATCAGTGGTATATCTGATAATGTATATCATGGTACATCTAATACTGTATGTTAGGGATACATCGAATGTACATTAAATATAAATTTGATGTATATCATATACAAATTTACATAAGATGTATATTAGATATAGATTTGATGTATGATATACATCAGAGTATTTCATATGTAAATTAGATGTATATCGTATATAGATATACATCATATATATCAGATATCATAAGGATAAAATTGAAATAATAAAAATTCCGAAAATAAAAACTCAAATATTTTGCTATATTTGAAATTTTGAAAAATTGGTGACATTTTTTGAAATACATAAAATATTTTTGCTACCCACAACAATTACCTTATCCATTTTACATTTTATCTATTAGTTTTCATATTACAAATTTGCTACATACACATATTTAAAATATTAAAATTAAAACATGAGAGGCAACTATCCTTTCTATTAAACTATTCATTTTCACATTTCTATTTTTAGATAACTAACTAGACTGCATGATTAATAAAACATAGTAATTATTAATTATTATAAATAAATGTTCTTCATTTTTCATTTATACAAGTTTTTTTAGTAAGTGGTCAATATGACAATACGATCATAATTCAATAAATAAGCATAGATGAAATTTCTACAATCCAACCTGAATCTTTAAGAAGGCTTTGCATGAACAACAATAGTAACTTTGTACGATCATTTAAAAAACTCATGTGGAGATGACTCCCATACAATTTTTCTAAGAGTTGGAGAAGTATCTACCATATTTATATAACTGATTGCCATTTATACTCCACCATCCATTCAAACTCTAAGAACCTAGATAATAGTATATCGACCAAAGAACTATAGCGAAACAATGAGTCTACTGGACAGAGTTCAACTAATAAACATTCTTGAAACTGTTGAGATCAAAACTCATTTGTAAATTATCCTAGTGCAATAAAAGTGATTTTTGCTTTTTGTCGTCCAAAAAAGTTATATTTCATTTTTAATAAGTTTTTGTATGAAATACAATTTAACAAATACTGTGATAATTATTTAACATAATTAAATATAAGCTTTATTTTATCAACATGGTAATAAGGTTAATCTAAGCATATAACTGATTCATGCAATGCAATCATTAGTATATACATAGATACATGTATTTAAAAGAAAAAAAAGGATACATGTATGGTAATATGATTTTGTAGAGTTTCAGTTGAATTTCACATGCCAAGTTTACGTCCAAACTTTACCAAGTTCAATTCGCGTTTATTATCCATTGGGCTTGATATTTGGGCCACTCCTAAAATTTACGTTGGGTTTTGATATTACATGGGCCATCAATGAATAGGAGGTCCATTTCACAACATTTTTATTTTTCTAATATTTTCCATAGTTTTCTCAACTGTCCCCATCTTGCAACCCAGGTGTTTGAAAGCTAATCAAAAGTAAATAATAGAAGAAAATTCTTAGTCTATATTATATCTTAGTTTTTATAATTTTTGAAGTTTTCAACTAAAATAATATCTTAAAATCTTATATATTTTGAACTTTATTATTAAAATAAAATGTCACCATCATAAAATTTAGCATTCCCATCTACGGATTTTTCGTTTTCCTTTAACTTTTATTATGTCTGTAATTGTGTATTTTTCATTTATTTATTTTTCCGTGATGGTGGTTGTGTGACTTTTTTCGCAGCGGCATATAAACCACAAAGAAAGACACTGGAAATGGAAACGATAAGGAGATATATGAACAGAAGCTTGTGCCTTCACGATCTGACAACTCAGCTCAATCCCGATAAGTGGACCCCACCACATCCCCACTCTCATCCACACTTTCTCTATCTTATCTTCCACCACGTCGCCCTCCCACTCTTCAACGCTCCTGATTCTGACACAAAACCAGTTTCACTT